AAAGCAGAGGCTCCCTGCTCCCATTAAACCAAACAACAAGGAAAGCAAGGACGTGGCAAGAGGAATAAATACAGTAACTCAGCTCCCCATCCCACAGAATGTAAATACTGTTGTGATGCTTGATGGAACAGCTTCACAGAGGAGCAGAAAGAAAGCCACGCAGCTGAAGTACCCTTATTCCTCTCCTGCTGGCTCTGTGCTCCCTCTTCTCAGGGCTGGGCACAACCAAGGAGACACACCATGAACTGCTCAATTTTGGGCTCTGTGATCTGCTATTAACAAATAATAATTTCAGGACATTTGTATTAGAAGAGCAACATTACACCCTACTAATCTCAGTTACACCCCTGCCCATCCAAGGTGAAAAACCAAACCCAAACAAACTGAGCTTGGATTCCCAGAGGGGTCCAGGAGATCAGCATTTGGTCAGCAGAGGTGGGCCCCAGGCTGCACTGAGACTTGGGTTAGCCAGTGCCCACACATCATCAACAAACCATCAGCTCTCGTGGCTGCAGCTGCATGAGCATCAAAGAACTGGTGACATCTTGTGACCAGAATCTGTCTCTTTTGGTGGTTATTACCCAAAACAAAAATTGATCACTTGCATATTTGATGAGGCAAAACTCCTCAAGTCTTTTATTTCTTTTTGATACTTCAGTCAAAAGGTTGTATGGATTTTGTTACATTCAACACTTGGTCCAACAATGTGCATTTCCACTGAGGAAAACAAAAAGAGCAGGGGTAAGCCAAAACACATACACACACAAAATGTAGCTATTTATTTTTTTACATACTTTATCCAAATAGAATTTTTGCTATATACAGAAACTGCATCTGATGTTATGCAGTTGGGTCTAGATATGGAACTTGAAAAGGTTAATTTCTTTTAATGCATATAATTTTATTTTGGTCTTCACAAGTCTTTTTCTACTTAACTGGCAGCAGACAGCCCTCAAATTGCATTTTAAATGTATGATTTATATGGTTATAAAAATATGTGGGATTAAGAAAGCTTTAACATTCTATTTCACAATTCATTTAACAAAGTAGCAGCAGTTAGAAAATTTTACTTGGCAAGATCATACTGGGGTGGGAGCGGACCTGTATGTGGAAAAGGGACCTGAGAAATGTTCCTGTGATTAATCTGAGGCAGCACAGCCCAACGATGGGAATTTGCTCTGGGAGGTAGATCTTGCTGTAAACCATTCAAGATTAGATACGAGGCACTGACATCTGACAAATGAAACTGCTGACAGAGTGGCTCATATGAGCTAATGATTTTCAATCTTTAATTAAGCACCTAGCTTGGCATAGTGTCTTAGATTTGAGTGAATAAGTACCTTTAAGGTTCAGGGTCAGAGCTTTGATGGGAATTTTGCTGAGGAAAACTGAGCTGGGGGAGACTTTTAGGAAGCAAAATGTTAGTTACTCTTCATTCAGAGCACTGAGCAAACAAGGTCAGATCCAGCCACCTTTGCCAGGTCCCATGGCACCTCCCTGGCAAGTGGGAAGCTGCTCAAGATGTTCCTCTTGAGGGCCAGAACATGCTGGCCTGTCAGCAGGGAAGGGCACTCTGCAGCATCTGGGTGGAAAGAGGGGAAAAAATGTTACTTAGAATCTTCTTAGTGTGGGCCTCATATTCCCTGACCTCCAAGTCTTTGGGCACAATTTTATACCCACAGCTGACTGTGGGCACACAAATTATAGCATTCAGGAATTTAAGTACCTGATGATTGGGCCTCTGCTCAGTGTTGTAACCCCAAGCATTCCACATTCATGAGAGAAGCCTCCAAACAAATTTAAAAAACCTGCAAGACTGGCTTCAGGAGCATGAATTAGTACTTTTTGAAATTTCTCATTTTTTGAGATTGCATGGCTTGCATTTGCAAGTCCTCCCACCATCAAAAATAGTGGGAATCTTTGAAAAAACACAGCAGTGAAATCAGGTTTCTGCTTACCAAAATGAATCACAAAACTGGATCTTCAGAAAGACAATGGTAAAAAAGAAAATAATATCAAGACTTAGGACAAAGATTGTACTACAGAGGCTGCAAGCTTCTATAAATAATATATGTATAATGTATGTAATAATGTATACAAACATCAGCATCTCAACCAAATACACACAGGCAAGCAATTGTTGTATAGACAGACAGGCATCCATAAATAAATATACATTTCCAAAGATGTCACCCAGGACACCAAAATGGGTGATGTCTGTCTTTCAGGAGCAGTGGCACTTTCTGGTGTATCAGGGAAGCACATCAGAGGCTCCTTGGGACAGTACCCACAGTGTTGAACCCACAGAAGAATAAGGAGCCTCATGAACTTCACCTCCTCACACTCTCTTATCAAGTTACTGACTTGGTCTTTTCAACCAAAATGTAGACACCAGAAACACAGGTAGGGCATGACAAAATACGTATCCTGCAGCAAGATTCACTGCTCAGGGAGGAGTATGACTCAGGGGTGACAGATCCCATTATCAATGCTTTCCTGGAAATCCTTAGATCCTTGTGCTCTTTGGTGGAGATGTAAAAGTTGCATCCTTTCACCTCTTGCTGTGGATTTTGCTGCAATTCTTACAGCTGCAACTGAATGTTGAGAAAGCTGTAGGAATGGGTTCATTTCAACAAAACCAAACATTTTTCAGCACAACTTCATATCAAGCACAACTTCTAAGCATGTGTATATATATGTGTGTCTGTATATATATATATATACACAAACGCATCTAAATATCAATAGATTATTTGAACCCAGATTCATAGAACAGGATTGAAATCTTATTTAGGGGTCTTTGGAGAAAGATCTTCTCCATAGACCAGAAATGGATACAGAGGAGACCCTGGAGCACCCTAAAAGACCCCAGAGTGTGTCACAGTATCCGTCTCCTCACTGCCACTGAAATGCTGCTGTTGCAGCAGAAGGTGGCAAGTTTTCTCTTCTGTCAGTATGGAGGACAGGAAGGTGATACCATGCATTCCAGTGTCCACAAAAAACCCAGCTCATCACAGCCTTGATGATTTTCTTCTTTTAGAGCAGTTGCAGCTATAGGAATTTCTTCCTCAACTCAGTAAACCTTGCTGGGAAACACCTTTTCTGCCTCTGATAGGATAACTTGATCTTGACCCTGGTAAAGCCTCTGGTTCCAGAAGGTCTAAGGTATGACCAGACTGAGGTCAGACCTCAGCAGGGGCTGCAGCTCCTCCTGAGGGGAAGAGGAGGGGCAGGCCCTGAGCTCTGCTCTGTGCGACCAGGGACAGGACCAAGGGAATGGCTAGAACTGGGTCAGGGGAGGATATCAGGAAAAGGTTCTTCCCCCAGAGGCTGTGGGGCACTGCCCAAGCTCCCCAGGGAATGGTCACGGCCCCAAGGCTGCCAGGGCTCAAGGAACATTTGGACAATGCTCTCAGGGATACCCAGGGCAGGGATTTTGGGGTTGTTCTGAACTGGACTCAAAGGGACCCTTCCAACTCAGGATATTTTATGATTCTTGCATAGGTTTCTCAGCTATATTATACTTGCTACCGTATGTTGGGAAGGGAGAATCAAATCCAAATATTCTCTTTAATATTGAAACCCCAGAAATTTGGGAAAAAACAAACCATACAATTTGAGTGAAACTCAAACAACTCAGGAGGGTGCCCTCTATTTGCAGGGATAACCAGATCTGTACAGCTTTTATTTTAAGGCCAGTTTCTGAAGCAGTAAGCATTTTTTACTCCCTCCTACTTCATTATGCCATTGTACTCAGATTTCGGCCCTTTTATCCTTTGCCCATTTCAGTCATGTTCTGGGATCTGCAGTGAAACCACTACAGGAGATGGTCTGCAGCATCAGTAATGCTTTCAGACAAGCTCTCTAGCTCATATTTCTTTGTTAGCATCCCGTTGCGAAGGGGAAAGATCAGCTCGCTTTGTTCTTAGGCCTTGATTTTCATAAGCTAATGATGGCTGTGGGTGTAATTATGGTCAGGCTTAAGTGGTAAGGCAAGGGCAGAAAAACAGAGAGGCGCTTCCGTGGGGCTGCCTTCCCCCTGCTGCACATCGCCTGCCTGCCCCGGCACAACCTGGCCCCGGGAAGGAGGGATGTGCCGGGCAGGAATGGCAGGAAGACAGGGGAACATGAGCCTGAGCACCCACCTGATTGTGTCCCTTCTGACTCTGAATTAAACCCCTCTGTCTGAACCTCCTCTACAACAGCCATGCATTTCTCTTCGGCTCACTGTTGAGCAGGACCCTCCAGTGGATTTTTTTCCCTGTTATCATTGCCCTGGTGGAAAAAAATGTGTTTGTGGCTGATTATTTGCTGAATAGTTGGACTAAATGCTGCAATGAGTCCTTTTCTTAAAGGGGACGGGACATTCTGTGGGTGGAAGATTCCGTAAGTTTACCACTGGTGGTACTGGTATAGGTATACAGGAAAAATCTTTAATTATGCAGTGAATATAGGATCGTAAAATGGTTTGGGTTGAGGTGACCTTAGAGATCATCTGGTTCCAGCTCCCTGCATGGAGGCTGATTCAGCCACACAGTATATACTGTTCTTCTTAAGCGTTATTTGATCATTACATAAAGCAATTAAGTATTTTGAATCTTATGCCACTTAACCCCCAAACCCATTCTTGTTTTCTGTTTTCAAAATGAAAATTATTTGAAAAATTTGAAGTCCCCTGTGGCTCTAAAGAAATGTCTCCTAAAATGTAAGCAAATATTCTCCAATATGTGGAAAAAAATGGAAGTGACAAAACACTGTATTTCCAACCAGGTGCCACTTAAAACAAAATGTTATGAGCATTCTGCTGGGAGGTGAAAAGATTTATAAGCATTATAAGGCATTAAAAAGCATATATAAGCATTATAAAGCATCTTTATAAGCATTTGAAAAATTTCCACCTGTAGTAATGAGTATTCATATGAACTAAACAGACTGAGGTTTAGGCAGGCTTGCAACATTGTTTTCCTGCAGTAACAGTATGCAAATATCTGTACACATAGGTTCTCGAAGAGAGAATGAAATTGGAGTGCAAGTGTCATGGAGTTTCAGGTTCCTGTACAACTAAGACCTGCTGGACCACGCTTCCTAAATTCAGAGAGATTGGATATATTTTGAAAGAGAAATACAATGCCGCAGTGCAGGTGGAGGTGGTAAGAGCCAGCAGACTGAGGCAGCCAACCTTCCTGAAGATCAAGCAGATTAAGAGCTACCAGAAACCCATGGAGACGGATTTAGTGTACATTGAAAAGTCACCCAACTACTGTGAGGAAGATGCTTCCACAGGGAGCGTCGGCACCCAGGGACGACTCTGCAACCGCACCTCTCCCAACGCGGACGGGTGCGACATGATGTGCTGCGGAAGAGGCTACAACACACACCAGTACACCAAGGTGTGGCAATGCAACTGCAAATTCCACTGGTGCTGCTTTGTGAAGTGCAACACGTGCAGCGAGCGGACAGAGGTGTTCACCTGCAAATAGCGGCAGCGCGCCGAGCGAACCGCCGCGGGCGAGGAGAGCGGAGTACAACAAACAACGACAGCATCGTTTTGCACATCTGATCCCTCTTGGGGGAAAGAACCCCAGCCAACACCACGACAACCACTCCCTGCCCACAACTACCTATACTTCTAAGGATGGTGCATTTTGGCTGGCTGGCTGTTGTAACTGCTTTGGAAACAAGGGCAACAGGATTAAGGTGATGTTCACAACCACATGAAATTTTCTCACTGTCTTTCTCTCTCCTTTTTTTTTTTTTTGAAACTACAATCTGGGTGTTGTAGAGTTCTCTTAGTGTTTTAAATTATACATATCAGAGAAGCTGATTGCATTGCAGCTCCCATGACGTTTAAAAGAAAAATACATTTTCTCCTATTTTACAGCAACAAAACTGTCTGGCCCTGTGCAAACAAAGACTTTTTTAAGGAAATGAAATCTTCACTGACTAGAACACAGCATTCTCTCTGCAAAAACCAAAATTTTTAAGAAAGCAGATAGAGAGAAAACAACAGGTAGGGAGCAAAATCTGTGGCAGAAATACTCCACTATCAGTTTGGAAATAAACCCCAACAAGTATTCACAAAATTACATCAGCTGCCAGTGACACTGGAACTCTTTGAACGAACATTAAAAATAATTATTTATGGTTTTAATAGTATCAAAAAATTCTAAGCACTAACGGGTAACTATGTCTTAATTCTGTACTAAATGTAAACTTATTGGAACTCTGACTTTATTATGACTTTTGTATTTGGTTCTGCCTAAGTTCTTCAATGCTACTGATCTGTTGTCACTCCACTATTAGAGAGTTCAATTACTGTAGGCCTTAAGCAATTGCCAGAACTGAGGGAAAACATCACGTGAAACTTTGGTTACCAATGTTTGATATCGACTTTTACCACTTGCCTCCTGAATTAAGAATGACTTTTTCAGACTCAGGCCTGAGGTGTGGAGCACCTGCTCACGGCTCCTCATAGGGAGTTTTAGGATACAAAGATGTGCTTCAACAAGTATCAAAGGTTTTGCTTTGACAATGAATGCACTGGCAGGGTCTTCCAGGCATTGTGTTTTCCCTTTAATGGTTGAAAGTTAATATTTTCAAGACTTCTAAGAAACTTATGCTCAGTATGCACTCAGAAGAGGATAAAAGCCTGGCAGCTGAGCTCTAGGTTGCTGCAACCTCTGAGCTGTCATGGCTTCACGAGCATAAGAAAGCCAAAATTTGGGTTAGTCTGTGTCATCATTATTTTAAGGTTGGCAATAATGTACCTCCTGGTAAGCACATGAATGTTAAAAGAAAGAAGCTCACTTCTTAATAGCACTCAATCCTAATTCCCACACCTTTTCCCTATGAGAGATTTTAAAAACAGCCTCAGATATTTTACTGCTGTAAAATCTAGTGTTTTAACCCCAAGAGCCCAGATATGCCCACTTAGAACACAGCCCATTTAACCATGTAATTGTTTGCTTGTCCCAAGGGTCCCTGCCTGATTTTCTGAAAACTTGGATTAAAAATTTCCTTATATTTGCATATCTGCATTTTTAGCTTTTGTTTAATTTTGTTCCTTATATTGAGGGGCTGCAGAACCATGAGCCCTCCCCACCTAACATGGAAGCACTTGTCCATCCACATGGTGCTCTTGGGGCAAGGGGCTGGTGGACCTGGAGCTCCACCAGCCCCCATGCTGGATATGTGAATGAGCCAGAATTACCTCTGTAATTTGTAGACCTGTGTTATCAAAGGTAACTAATGATTTGGGGACTTTCATTTGAACAACACTTGTGAGGACCTGTCTTTCTGACCCCAAGCACTTACCCTCTGAAAATCAGACCCCTTGGATGACTCCCTCACAGAGTAATGTAAAATTGATTTTTTTTTTTTTTTAATGTTGCTGTTGATTTCTAAATACCAGCCTTGGCATGAATGAGTGCAACTTCACAGAAGTCAACAGGGGCCTCCAAAATACTAGATTCACTCCATATAATTTAAAGTCCCTTGGATTCATGGGTATTGTTGTTGAATAATAGTGATGATACTGTACTTTCACTACATTCTTGACAGGAAGCAAATAAAGCTCCCAAACACAGTAATGCACAGTCTTATGGTACTAGATACTGTAAATTTATTAGAATAGTATTTGTTAAGTACAATTGAGGAATCCAATTAAGTTATATTATTGTATATCGTTTAAATGTCTATAGAGTATTTTAAATTATTGCGAACTACACTGCGTTAGAAAAAATGAAAAAAAAGGAAAAAAGGTTATATATTATAACACCAGCCACTCCAAAAAGTGGACCAAAGTGACACTTTCTCTCTTCCACACCCCTATTTGAAATAGCTCTGTCTGCTACTGTAAGACCACTGTAACAGTCCCATGACTGGGTGAGCAGTCTAGAATGTAATGTTTCAGAGCATCCTACAAAAGCTTTGCTCATGTGGAGGTGCAGCATTCCAAACGGTGCTGTATGGCACAAGGCAGGGGCTGGCAGTGGGAATGCTTGGACTTCGAAATATGTCCCATGGAAAAGCAGTTCTGGTCAGAAAATACCATTCCCACTAATATACCGAAACACTCCCCAAAGTGACGACTTTTAACAAAGGTGTCTGTGACTAGAAGTGGGTTACACACAACTTTTATTTTAAAAAATGTAGTTTGATGTCAAAGACCTGTGACAGTAGAGGTTGGAACATGACCAGCAACATGTGGTTTAACCATTCCTTAGCCATGACAAAACTCAAAATACTTTATGTTATTAAAGAACTTAAGAGCAAAGATCAATTTGTTTACTATGTTAATGTTTTATGGCAAGCAGAAAACAAAAGATGAAATGTGTTTCCATTAAAACTTAATTTTTTCCCCTTCCAGTTCCTTTTCCTTTTATTTGTTCTTTGTTAAGGAAAAAAAAAAAAAGCAAAAGGGTCTGATGAAAAGACCATTTGTGTACAGGCTTCTCCACATGAGAAATGATAGCTGAATTCCAAGTCCTAAGGAGTTTTTGTATTTCAGGAAAAATGGTAATGAACATGACTATGTGTGGAATCAGTCTTGAGCCATCTACCTACACCAGTGCTACACCAGAGAAACCAGCACCAACATTGCTGCTACCAGAGACTTTATCTGGCTACAATAAAAAATCAGTTCTTTGGTGGAAGAAAAGAAATTATTTGTGATAGAACTTTGGCATCTAACTCAAAAATGGCACTTGACCATGAACCTCACGTAATAGATTAGCAAACAGAGAGGAATAAGAGCTGTGGAGGAGAGGGTTGAAGGTCCTGACTTGGGAACTTGTACATGTTCCAGCTTATTCAAGCCAGCTATGGACACACCTGAAAACCCTACCTGAATCTGAACCTGAAGGATTTTACAGCATTTACCTTGGCTAGAGTAGTTACAACCTCTTTGATATTGAGAATACTGTCTTCCTACACAAAATCTAAAGAAACTGTACAGCTTTTGCTGTATTTACCCCTCAGGGAAGGTATCCAGATACAGATAGTGCTATAGTGAAATTCTACATGAACTGAGTCCAAAATAACTTCATTAAAATGAACTAAGTTGGCCTGGGTTTTACAGTAGCATAAGTATGCACAGTATTTTACCCACAGATGCCAAAGAAAACACTGCACCTTCTTTCTAATTACATCATGGGAAACTTGTTAATAGAGCTGCAGGAAGTTTTTATAGCACATGGTAACATTACATTTGTTTCTACGATGACATCTGGAAACTAGATGAAACTCATCAAAAGCTTTGCAAATCTTTTAACAAATCTAAAGCATGTTATAAGCAGGTCACTTAAAGTTTTAAACGTATTTCCTTGGGTCCCTTTGTTAGTTGAAGACTAAAACCCCAAAGTGATAGTGGAGCTGACAAATCAAGACCTTCCCTTATAGCAGCTTTCCCTTGCAAATAACTCAGTGTGGCTTTCATTATTGAAGGCAAAATTGGCATTCAGCAGAAAATGCTTTCTATAAAGCTAATTTGCATTCATAGCAATTTTCATAACTGGACAGAATGACTGCACGTTTCCTTTCCAGCCCTTCAGAGCTTTTGTTGCAATGACAGTTCCCAGAGCGAAGGCGATGGAGTAAATGGTACAGCAAAGACCCAGCATTCTTCTCTCCGAGTGATGGCCACAACAAGATGTGGGATATACACAACAAAAACTGTGCCTGAGAAAAAAAACCCAAACCATCAAAGTTGGAAAGGCAGGGGAAGTTGTAAGCAATTTCAGTTTGTGTTACTGATATTGTAAGAAACCTCCTGTGTGCTAAACAAACCGCATTGCAGGCTGCACTTCACCCACAAACTCATTTCCCCTCAAATCCAAAGTCCCTGTCTGCATGTCTACACATTCAGACTTCAACAAGCCTACCAAAAGATTGGCAAGTATTTCCTTTCTCGTGTTTTGTCTGCTATTAGGAAATGGTAGGGGATCATTTTCTGGTAGGGAACATATATTCGTAAATTTAAAATTTGCATCTCATTTTTAAATGAAGATTTAGGGCTTTCCCGCCCTGTGCAATCCTGCAGAGCAGATATGTTTGCTTTAAAGGATTTCTTCAGTGAAGAATGGCAGTTCACATAATACATGGTAATTGTTTGCAATGTGTTCCATAGAGCACAAAGACAGAGGGAATAGTACTACTGTAAACACAAAATCTTCCATTGTGCTCTTTTTACTAAAAGCAATATATTAATTATTAGCTGTTTGGAGACCCCTGTGTGAGTCTGTTTTGATCATCCTTTTCAGAACTTAGTGCTGTGAAAGACCAAAAGTTGAGATATTAAAGTTTGCTTTGTTTCCAGGTCCTCTTATTCTTGATGCAAACAGATCCTCAGATCAATAAAAAACCAGCTTAATGAGACTTAAACTTGCATAGGTCATAAAAATGATTAAGATATTTGTTTCATAGGCATCCCAAACAACTGGCAACCACACCAGACATTGGAAATGTTTGTATCTAAAGCCAGCTGTATGATTAGCCTCTGCCTTCATTTGCCCAGCAATTTAGGGAAAACCCTGCATTTTAGATCCCATACAACTAAAAGGAATTCCCAAGAAGATTACAAGATTTTGATCTTATTGTTTAATTCCTGTGGCTGAGAATGAAAAGGAGCATTCCCTCAATCTTTGGGTAAAGGGAAACCCAAAGGCATTTTGAAGGCTATTCACACCACTCTACTTAAAAGACTAAAGGACAGGCTGAGGGAAGTGACGGCCTCTCTGGAGTCCCTCTACAATGGGGAGAGCAATCTTGCTCCAGGGGGGCCTTAGTTCAGACAGACCTTCTCCCTCTCATCTGGAGAAAAACTCCAGGAAGACAATGCTGGATAATTTAACTGCTGAAATTAAACACCAAAAATTGTATCACGGGAATGAATTTCTATTTTCCTTTTACCATTTGCCTTAGTTGCTCTTGGACACCAATTCAATTTTCCCTAGGTTTTCTGAAGTGCAAGCTTTTTTATTTTATATGTTGTGGAATGGATACTCCATCAGTGAAATTTGCTTTGTTTTTGCTTTTTACTGCCACCCTCTCTTCTCTTCCAACCAATCTTCAACTCCTGATTTAATGCATGGACTGTCTCCCCACAGAAATTATTTCAAAGATAATTGTAAAACCAGATTAGTATCCAGTGATTGATTGAAGCAGTTTCCTACAAAGCATCTTACTTATGGTTTTGAATTCTTCTGAACAAATAAGCTGTCCAGAGAACTCTTATTCGAGGGGTGAACATTTAATAGTGTCATGATACTGGTTGTGGGCAAACCTAATGGATGTTCACAGAAGTCCTCTCCTGGTTCTTTCACCAGAGAGGATCCAGGCTGCACTGAAAGGCTGTCACAGCAACTGCATCCCAATTATCTGCAAGGATAATTGCCATTGCACCTACCTGAGTTCAGCTTCCAGGTTAGGCTTGTTCAAAGGGCAGTGAAATTTAACAATCATGTATTTTCAGTAGTGTTGGACATAACACAGAATTTTCCATAGTGCTAAACATCATCTCAGCACTTTGCTGACCTAAGTATTACATTGTTTTAAGACATAAATATACACATAACAGGAGGTTTAGGCTGGATATCAGGGAATGGTTCTTCCCCCAGAGGCTGTGGGGCACTGCCCAGGCTCCCCAGGGAATGGTCACGGCCCCAAGGCTGCCAGAGCTCCGGGAGCGTTTGGACAACGCTCTCAGGGATGCACAGGGTGGGACTGTCGGGGTGTCTGTGCAGGGCCAGGGCTTGGACTGGATCATCCTTGTGGGTTTCCTCTAGCTCAGGATATTCTATGATTCTATGATACTTGAAGGAATTAGCATACCCAGAGAGGGGGAGAAAAGGTAATCCTGGAATTGCATCTTGTATCCCAAATAAAAAGCCGAAAATGCATGTACATTATCCATGTATTTCCATGCACACGTGCAGATACATGCAAATTCATAAAAATACATATGTGTGTGCATAGCTGAAAAATACTCACTGCAGATATTCAGAACAATTTCTATAAGCTGCTTGCTCAATTTTCCCTTTTCAAGAGGAGTGGATTTTGTGGCCTCCTACTGAAATATAGGGATACAAATTTTCTATATTATCTTCCATATATCTCCATCATCAGCACCCACTAACTTCTGATAAGACTTCATTCTTTTATTTGTAGGTGGTTTTTTTTAATTATTAGTAGGTCTTGATGAAAGCAGAAGGGGAATTGGATCTAGATGATGTTTACAAGCTTTTTCTAATGAAAACCATTCTGTGATTCTATGCTTGGGCACTTGCTAAAAGGGGATGTGTGTGAAACCACTCTCCCTCCACCTAGCCAGGAGCAGAAGACAGCCTAATTCCATTCTAAATCCCTTGCCAAAGGCTCCAGCAGAGGCCAAGAGCAAGGGCTGAGTTCAGAGGCCCTGGTTTTCAGTGCTGTTACTGGCCCCACATGCCGTGGCTCCTGCAGCACACAGGAGCGACAGTTGTGATGAATATACATTTATTGGCAAGCACCTCACAACCCTTCCTCCTTATCTCTCCCCTTAAAAGATAAGCTACTTAATATTTGGCCCTGGCTGATATCAACAAATGTGTCATGATATGCACTTGATCTGCACCCGTGTTAACCTTTTGAGCAGATGCAGGCACTTTCAGTCAGAAAACCATCACTGGTATGCTCTGTTAGCACATTTACAGTAATGAGTCAGATAAATGCTTTCTGTTTTTAAAAGGCCAGAAGCAATGCAGCAGGACAGGTTTGTCCACCCACTGCATTTTGTTCCAGCAATTCTGGCACTGAGCTGCATCTGGGATGAAATAGTCTTAGGAAGCCAGCATGCCAAGCTTGAAGAGTAGGGTAAAGTAAATATATAATGGCGTGGGAAAAAGTCTTTTGTTTGTTAATATTAGGTGATATAGAATATCTGTTGTTCAGGACAAGGAACCACAGAGTTGTTGGATTGTGTTCAACAGTGCCCAGTCGTCTTTTTTTTTTAGTGCCTAAGTTGCTTTACTCTCTTTGCATGTGTACACATGCAGAGGGACTTGGGAAAGATTTACTCAGTCAATGCATTAATAAACTTTACTTTTCATGAAAGAAACAAAAGAAGAAGGTGTTAGGGATAATCCAAGCAAGAAGTACCTGGAGATGGGTCACAGCAGCACGGTAAGAAAATACGTGCTTTGGAAATTTCAGCTGACTGCCTAATCCAAACCACTCCTGGAGGAAGGAGAAGGAATGAGGAAGTCAGTTTGTGGTTACCAGCTTCTCTGGCTGTGATATCCAGAACATAATTATTACAGGGCTACAGTTCAGCCAGCTTTTGACAAATGAACCACCAAGAGTTTTCTCTGCATGTTTTCTATTCAAGTGTG